TTTTTTTTTTTTTTTTTTTTTTTTTTTTGCCTGTGATTCTCCAAGTGCTTTGGTGCCATGCATTTAAAAAGTTATCTTTCCTCCATTGAGTGTCCTTTGCACCTTTGACAAAAATCAGTTGGACTTATTTTTTCAGGTTCTTTTTTGGGTTCTACCACATGGTCTTGATTACCATTGCTATATAATGTCTGAAAATCAAGTAGGCTGATTCTTCCCATTTTATTTTTTAAAATAATTTTAGCTATTTTAGGTTTTTTTATGTTCTATACACACTTGCTATCATCCAAATGTACCTCTGAAACTCATGTGGAATTTCAATTGCCACTGTAACAGTTTAAAAGGTGTTTAGGGGCTGGGGATTTAGCTCAGTGGTTCCACTGCCTGCTTCACAAGCGCAAGGGCCCAAGTTCGATCCCGGTACAAACAAATAAGTAAATAAATAACTACATGACTAAATAAATAAGTAAATGAAAGACCATGAAGCCTCTGCTGACACAGATGTTTAATGCTGGTGAGCTGGGGGTGCGTTAGTTATCTCAGGAGTGGGTCTGATGAGACAGTATGTGCGAGCTGCCTTCCATCTCTGTGAGGTTCTCATTCACCCTCACCCTGTTATGGCAGCACACCAAGTAGTGCCAGCATCATGCTTGTGGACTACCGGGCTCTGAAGGCCAGGATGGGACAAAATGGCAGAGAAAGGATGAGTTCCCTCTCTCACTCTCATCTTAAATGACTCTGTTTCTCCAAATTCTAATGACTGTTTCTTCTCTGAAGAACTCAAATACAGTTTCATATTAGATTCGTGAGTGAGCAAAAGATCTATCAAATTTGATCTTCTTCACATTTTTTACAAGTTGCTGTTGGATATGTTGTGTACCTAAGATGTGTTCATTTTACATACGTGCTACTTTGCATCCTCAGATCTGTGTCTCCCTGTCCTTGCCCATTCTTGATTACCACTGTGTTGTTCTTTCTGTATATTTTAATTTTTTATATTCTACAAACTAGACATTCAATATTTCTCTTTTTGTGCTTGGATTATTTTACTTAGTGTAATGTCCTCCAGGCTCAACCTTCTTGTGGTGAATGGCAAGATTTCATTCCTTCGAAGGGTTAGAATTCCATTGTATGTGTGTACAATAATTTCTTTATCAATTTCTCCATTGATGGACACTTCAGGCATTTCTATATCTTGCTATTGTGAAGTATTGTTGCATTGAACATGAGAATGTAGATACCTTTGAGGTGGTGATATAACTCATGTTATTATCATCTGAGAAAAGATCACACAGAGAACTTCTCAAGTTGATCCACTCTGTCATTTAGTAAGGGCCTTGCTTTAAAGTTTCCCACTGAAACTTTGGCCTAATAGAATACGCATTTCCAAATTAGAGTGAACTTAGGCAGCTTTAGTAAGGTGTGAAAATGAGAAAACTACAATACTCATATAAAATGGCTACAAATTATCTTGTGAAAAAACAAGTATAAGATTTCTTCTTCTAAAAAAATGAGATAGATGTTTTCCCTATTTCTCCCAAGCAGTACAAACAAAACTCCTGAATATTATAGATAAACCAAAAGAAGAAAGCTGGAGAGAAAAGGGCAGATTGGTTAGAAGCTGCAGGACATGAGACATTACACACTGGTAATTTCCTTGGTTTTCTTCTTGCTGTGTATATCCAAGACTTGGAAAAGCTGAAAATTTGGAAATGCTAATGTGCAAAGATTTATCAAGACTTTCTATTTCTAAAGAAAGGACAACAAAAAGGATAGCACAGCAAAACAAAATTTTCATAAGCATCAACCATTCTACTACAGATGAAAACAACAAGACAAATGTGGCCCCAACCCCAATGCCACCAGTAAAGACCAATAAGTAGCCTAGATTTCCACCCTCCTGATGTTTTAAGGAGGGTATGTATCACCCTTACCTGGGTAGTACCAGAAAAGATAGAGTAAGGAGCCAGCTTTTGTCTCACCAGTTAGTAATGCTATGGTGTCAGGGAGGAGCACCGAGAGAGCCTGGACTTGCACCCCTACTTACCAGTAATGAGGTATCCTGCCCATCTCCAGCAGGAATCCAGGCAAAGGACGCCTCCTAGAGGCCACAGTGTCTCCACTCTCAGTGGTAATGAAGCTATTGTCATAAGGGTGTCAGTAAAGGACATGGAGGGAACTGGACCTCTGCCCAGCAATAAAAAGGAGTCTTTCCGGTCCCAATGTCATCAGTAGAGGCTGAGTAGAGACAGTCCTTCCATCTCCACTCAGCAGTAATGAGGCAATGCCTCCTCTTCCTGTCAAAGCACTGTCAAGGAGAAGACAGCTAAAATAGAACATTTGGTCTCCTAACCTAATATGAAAAAGTCCAGGTTTTCATTTAAAAAGTCATTCCTACCAAGAACAAAGATCCTAAACTGAAAGAAAAAAAAATCAATCAATAGAGGCCCACACCAAGATGATAGAAATGTTAGATAGAATTCTGGACAATTTTAAAAAACTTCATTGAAAATA